ACAATCTAAGCCCCCATTTGATTTACAATCTTATAAGAATGAAAATGAAATATATAACTGTTACGGGACCCACAGAAGTAAGAAAAAAGTCAAATATAGTAGCTTGATATGATGGATCACGATCATATTTTTCATTTTTTGGCCAAAAAATGGGAAACAAATGGGGCCTAACTTAACAATTTGAAATAATGCTTGTTGGTCAATGTTCATATTTTAATTGAAAATCTCTCTCGATAGTTATCAATCTATTCCCTCATGTGACCTTCCTATCTCTCAATGAAAGATGGGAACATGATAAATGTATTAAATGAGCAAAAACATCTTATAAAAACCATATGAAGTATAGAGGTATATCTCTATCATCTATGGAACCTCACAATGTTTATTACTTCGTGCTAACGACCTTATTATCTTTTGCGATGATAATAAAATTCATAAACAATTCAATTATTGGCCAAGTAATTGAATAGAAAATTAAACCATAATAAACATCAAGAAACTTAAACAAATTAACGTCAATTTAATTATTTAAACAAAAAACTTCATATCAAGGGTTCATCACATCCTAGCAATATGAAATTCGGCCTAACATAGAGTTGAAATTAAACAAAGAAAGGATGAAAGACATCATCAAAAATCGACAAAACCTGATCAGTTATTGCAATTTCGTGTCACCGCCAACTTTTTTGCCTAAATAAAACTTTTCCCTTTCAACTCCTCAACCATCTTTGTTTTGTCTCTCCAGCCGCCAACTCTTCCAATCTTTATTCCGAAAGCTACTCCAAATGTAGGTTGTATATATATAATCACTTAAAGCCACAAGCTTCCATGTGTTTTCTGCCTCCAATTCTTCTTGACCATGTATATATTCCAACCCAACAGCCATAATGTCTATTTTCCCCTCAAAAACAGCTACTTGGCTGCCCTTTTTTGTGCGTATATATATCAATTCAGCACCTCTTTATGTCTTAAAGTTGCTGCCAAAATCAGCCCTCTTTGTGCCCAAAAATAGCTGCCACAAATTTCGGTGTATATATCTCTTATTCAGCAAAAATAGCAACCCAATGTTTGTGCAAATATATAATATTGCAGCCCCCTTTTTTCTCCGTTGGCAACCCTATGCGTGTGTATAATATTTTTTCCTCCTAGCTGGTGACCTTTTTTTTTTTTTTTTGGTTTTTCCTCCCTAAACTGCTGAAATAATGTATTAATTCAGTCCCCAAGCAGTTGAATTATTTTTATTTTTATTTTTATTTTCATTTTTTTTACTTCACTTTCTTCCCTTTTATTTTCTCTCTTTCTGTGCGTAAATATTATAGACTCCCCCCCTTTAATTCCGCCAGCATAAGTATATATATTAACCTAGCAACTTCATATTCAACACGAACCCGAGTAATTCTTTACTTTGATTCCAAATTGCAAGTCCAAGCTAAAGCCCAATTAAGTTCAATGCCCATTTAATTTAATATTCCTCTCGAATGTTTCATCTTTTCCAAATAATGCAATTGAGTCCTTCAATTTCTATAGTGCAAACTTTGCATCAAATAGTCAATTTAATTCCCATACTTTGGATTTTGCCATTTTTCGTTATTATTTGCTTCTTTCCTTCTATTCCTTTTCATTTATAGAGTTTATCTGGAAAATATAAAATACAACAATTTAGGATATAATTTGTCAAAAGAACTATCAAATATTACTATTTTAAAACCCCGATTAAGTGTATGAAATACACTTATCAGTTAGCTCATGTTTGGTATAAATTATTTAAAATTCATTTTTTCTAAACTCATTTTTTACGCATATTCTTCTAATAAAATAATTTTACACATGGACCATTATTTTTCCCTACTTTTAATCACACGATATCAAGAAATATTATTTTTCACAAAATTCATTCTCAAAAATTTACATCAAGCATGCCTTAGATGTCTAAGACGCTATACAAATGGTATTTGATTTGTCTGTTTGGATGAATTACAATTGAAATAAAATTAATTATCTAAAAGTGATTTTAACCAGCTAGAGTCAGTCCACCCCTTTCGAGTTTGCACTTCATGGAAATATGAGCAGAGAATTTAAAGTACTTTCAAATCTACTCACTTTTAATGAGAGATTATTTTAACTTTAAATCTTGTTTTTTAATTGTCTTCAATTTCAATAGAAATTGAATTTAACTTTGAACTTGGAATAATGATACATAGTTTCACTGATATGATATTAGAGGCACCAATTTAGATGATAATATATAATAGATTGAATTAAATTGATCAGATCTGATTTCGTTTAATGAATTTGTAATCTAGTATTACATGTATCGTCACCTAAATTGTGCCATCATAATCTAAAAACATAACGATTTGCTGTAAGGCATCACAGATAAGTCTGTAGCAGTGTTTTGGGTTAGGAGAATAACAACATTATAGGCCCCGTTTGATACACATTAATGTAAAAATGAAAATGAAAAATATAGCCGTTACGAACCCCACACAAGAGATAGAAAGTCAAATATGGTGGCTTGATGTGATGGATAACGGCCATATATTTCATTTTAATGGGCAAAAAATGGGAAACAAACAGGGGGCCATATTTATCCAACTGATCTGATCATGTTGAACAAGGCCAGCTCTTTGTGAAGTTGTGACATTTATTGACAACGTTGAAAATCTTGGCCCAACTTGCTTCTGATTTCACTAAATGGTCTTAGAAGAACTTTTACAAGATAATATATTAAGATTTCACTAAATGGTCTTACTTTTTTTATGGTGGTTTCTCCTAATTTCTTAATCTTTTTGTCCTACTTTTCATCCCTTGAGCTTGAAGAAAACTTGAGGTTTATGCGCTGGCGAATTCCTGTTCTCTTTCTATTATTCTAAAGTATCGAGTGTGAAATAGAAATGCATAAAGATTATGTCTTTGGTTCCAATCTGATTAGTTCTTTAGATTGGTAGTTAAGTCTGTGTCCTGCTCTAAATAGATGCTTCTGTTTTAACCGAAAAATTTCCTGCACAAATTCTCTAGTTTCTAATACACAAACTGAATTATACAATTTATTTCGTTTGTTTGGCTGCAAACCATATTCTCACGTCTTTCTGTGTACAGTCATGCAGAAAGGTGGCACTAAACTTTGTATCCCCTAAAAATGTTCATGAGTGCGTCCGTTTGACTGAAGAATTTTGCAAGCTTCCTAAAAACCATCTGGCTAAGGAAGATAAGCTGGTGGTTTGATTTTCCTAAATTGCATCATATTTTGTGCGTTTCACTTGCTTGTATTTCTGATTTTTATTGGAATCTGTCTAATATGAAGTAATAAATATCTACGACAACTGCTTTGAACTAGTTACCTCTTTAGTCTTCATGACTGTTTTTGCTTGTAATACTGAAACCATTGGTTCTATTGATAATTATGGAATGGAATTGAATCCAATGGTTTCAATTTGATTTGGTTCATTTCCATAATCAAAGTTTGATCATAACTCTATATATATTCATAAGTATTTTGCCCATCATAAAATATAATTCTAAAGGAATTTGGTCTCTACATATATAATCTGATCCACCCTTTATTTAGATGTCCTAAGTCCAACAATTTAATTCTTTATTAGATCTCTCTATTTTTTTTATTTAACTTTAATATAGTCTTATATACAATTAATTATATGTGTAGGCCCACATGACAAATTAAAATTTTGCCAACAATCCTCCACTTGGGTCACATATGCTATCTAATGAATGTGTATAAATTTATGACGTTAAAACTATTGTTATCATAACCAAAAGCATATACGAACAATCTTGCCCATCAATTATGTTAATATAAGATCAAGCCGACTTCATTACAAATATCATAACTATACTCTCAATGGTCACGTGCAATTTGATCCAAACATGTCTATTTCCAACTGGTACTACCTTATTCTTTAATTAGATCAACCATAAATTTTAATCAGGGTGGAACTGGACGGAGTACTTTATTTTTTTAAATAAGCGGAATATCCATGGATAAAGACCATTCCTCTGTTTTATTGCTATTACAAGTCCAGTAGCCTCATAGCATTCATCTTACAGATCCTTGTTCTGCATTTAAATTTTCGTACGCACATTCATCAATGTCATACATCAACTCCTATTTCACTATTACTCAATTTCTGATTGTCCTCACAGATCCATAAGACTATCAGCAGCAGCAAACAGCCTCAAGAACAGGCAGCAACATCCAGGTTTTTCCAAATCATCAGCAGCAGCCATCCAGCATTTGAGAAGAAACAACAGCAGCAAACCAGGATCCTATGGTGTGATCCTTAATTCTCAAACTTATTTACTTTGTTTTAGGTGTAAGCCAAAAAAAGGTGGAAAGATTCTCATTTGATTAATTTTAGGAGTAGCCGATAACATTAAAAATATTGTTTCTCATAGACCAGCTTCGGGAATAATCCATTGTCCCAACAAAATAATATTTTCGTTTTCATTACTTAATAGATCTTTCTTTTGTTTGCTTACACGCTTCAAATTATTCTATTATGAATTTTGAAGATTGTTAATGATTTATTATGAGTTCATTTTGCATCTTAACAGTTTTTAACAATTTTTGGATTTGGAAGGAAAAACACAACAGTACCTGATTACACCTTCTTAAACATTGAATATGAATACAATAAAGACATTTATTCAGGGCTTATGCTAACAACAAAAAGCTCACACAATTAATTAGTGCTCAATTCAATGTCTGTACTACTACGCAATTCATATTATGATCAATAAATAGATAACAGAGAAGATTCTCTCTTTCAGCAATTAAACATAACCAAGTTGCATTCATGCTTACAAGTATAAAATGGTCCACACAAGCATAAGTTCAATATCAATATCTCGAGAAAATGCATTGAAGTCGTAAAATATAGGCCATGACAACCACACCCCATTAATTTTGCTGAAAGGAAGTTACATATTTGAATAATTCTTCCCTTACATTTAAAATGAAGATATCCCACATATTCCAAAGATTAATATGGTAAAGAAAGAAGACATGACTGGCCTCTCTTGCAATTGAAATACGTTTCTCTTAGTCCCACACACTCGCTTGAAATTTTCGGGTTCTGCTCCTTGGCACATTCTCCATATGGCCGGTTGTCCCCTACAATAATTCATTTTATCTCAAATTATGTCAAATTTCATTACTAAGAATCAAGACTATCAATAGCATACACCTAACCTATGACCACACGAAATCAAGGCTCAACTACAGAGTACTCAGTGATTCGGGCTCCATGAGTTCCGAATCCAAGTACAATAATGTCATTTTTAGAATTCTTCATACTAAACCGAAAACTTAAAAGATAAATATATACCTTTACACTGTCTGATTCACTGAGGCAATTGACCAGTTCCATAGCAAGGCCCTTGCAGAATTTGGCCATTTCTAGGGCAATTATTTCTTGTTTGTTAAATTCCTCTTCAGGTTTCTTCATCGAGGTTTTCGGTTTTACTAGTGGGCTTTTATGAGAGTTTTCTAAGTTGGGCCGGTTTAATTGGGCCGTAGTTGATGTGCGGTTGAAATTAGTACACAAAATTAAATAATTATTCTGAAATTACATTTCCAAAATTTTTTATCCCATCATTATTGCATTTTATATTGTAAAAGTGATACAATAAAACCTCGATAAATGAATGTTCAATAAATTAATAATTTCCCTTGAATAACAATATTCTTCAGTCCGACTTGGGTTTGTGTACTAAATTAATAATTTAGCGAAATGCATAAGATGATATATTTTTTTGAAGATCCTTTGAGACCCAACGAATATATAAAATAATAACTGATTCAGAATTTATAAAAATTCCTACTGATACAAATTAACAAACTTTTAGCCCTTGTTTGAGTCCCATTCTTTTGGAAAAATTTATTTTTCAACAGTATTTTGACATCATTTTAACCACACATTCTTCAATAAAATAATATTACACGCAAATTCCAAACTTTTCCTTATTTTTTAACCACACATTTCCCATCAATACACTATTCAAAAATTCATTCTTTCCAAAAAAATGGGGTTCAAACAAGGGCTTACTTTAATAATTTTTTTTTTTTTTCAATTCCTCTCTGTTTCAAAATATGCTTTTAAAGCCTTTTGCTTTTTCTTTACACCCAAACCAAACTCAACTCCATCTCTAATTTTTTGCAATAAACATGCTGCATTTGGCTTCTCTCTCTCTCTCTCTCTCTCTCTCTCTCTCTCTCTCTCTCTCTCTTTTCTTTTTTTTTTCTTTTTTTTTTTATACCTTCTTTCAAATGAGATACCATGGTAGTATGAAATTTGGAATGATTGGGGCTCTCAATTTAAAATTAACGATAGTAGAAATTATATTACACATGTACATGAAATAATTTGAACAATGAATCTTCCAAAATATTAAACTTTGAAATCAATGCATATACATTAATGTTTCCTCTTTAATGTGTGAATGTGTGTACCTTTTTGTGTTTTTATTAAGAATTATTTTATTCATGGGGGACCCAAGCCTCAACTATGAGTGCACGGTCACCCGCGCAATAACCGACACGGGTTGAGTGGCTTAATTCTATTAACTTTTGGCCATGACTCATTCGTTTATATTTTATTTGTTAGTTTGGACTTTTATAATCTTGATTATTGAAATTTTGAACTTGTTAAATGTTTGATACTTATATTTTTTATTTAAGTACATATTGATAACTTATAGATATTGTGTAAGACTGAAAACTTAAGTAATAGTACTAGTCTACTAAAACTAGACCAGACTAAACCAGAACCAAATGGTTCGGTTCGGTTCGGTTCGGTTTGATTCCACTTCTTAAAAAAAATCATTCGGTTCTATTATCAAAAAAACCATTGGTTTATAGTTCAATTCGGTTCTCTTAGAACCAGAATCAAATAAAACCACGTTCACCCCTCACCACATTCAATTTTTTCTTTTTAAAATTTCCTACATGTATTATGGTAAAATACTATATAAATTACTAAATATTTATTCATCGATAAACTAATAAATTATTCATTTATCCGATAAATTAACAACCCCTTTAACATAATAATTTTTCCCGCCCCCAGCATTATTATTTTGTAGAGGTTTTAACGTATGTAAAATTATATTTTACTCCTAAAAATAATCAATCCCCGTAGCTTATATCGTTCCGCCAAACAAGCCTCATCAATTATCCCTTAATTATCGCACAAAATCCCCAAGTTTTAATTTCAACATCTTCAAGCAAAATCAATTTCACAACACTATCAAGATCAAGAAATCCCATTTCGTCCCACTAATTATTATGATCCAACTTTTTATTCCATAATCTCAGTATTCAAATCCGTGTCACCTTTCTGCATTTTGAAGATTTTAGAGATTTTATCTCAATTATAAAAACCCTAAATCGAGGATATGAAAATCACTATTCGAACCCATTTCTGTCAAATCATGGTTATACTCGCTATTTTTGAACATTACAAAACAGAAATGGTAACCCAGCTCATCGTACAACAGTTGGTTCTTCCAAGAACAAGTAGACGATGAAAGTTTACCTAGTTAACACCAACCCATCTCGTCGTTATCCTTGGGTTCAGTGAGGAACCAACAAAGGGATGGAGATTATCACTATATGGCAACCCCAAAAATGTTCTAATTCCTCTAACACTACATTATGCCCTTGTTTGAGCCTTAGTCTTTGAAAAAAAAACGAATTTTTCAACAGTATTTCAACATTATTTCAACAACTTTTATATGTCTATCTGAAACATAGCATCAAATACTAAAACATAGGCCACTTCGTTTGGAACATGTTGAGTGAACACCACCAGTATGGTTAGCTTATCGAGCTTTCATTAATATGAACTACAGCAAGATGAAGATGATTTCACTACTTAATTATTCATTCAATCGAAATAATTTTATTTTTAGCATTGCATATATTACATATAACTTAAGCTTGGAGAACATTCAAATTTATTCCATAAGTGATTGCTAATACTGCCATGCCTGTAAGATATATGGGGTAACAAGTTTTGATCAATGTTATAAAAACTGGATCAAATCGGCCAGTTCAACTGGAAAAATCATGAACCGGCCGTTAATCCGGTCCAGTTCTCATTTATTAACAGAAAAATAAAACCCGACTAATAAGCCGTCAATCCGGTCGGTTTAACCGTGAACCAGAAAACTGGCCACAGTTTTTCCCGGGTAATTTAATTTAATTTTTTAACTATCTTAATGGGTCATCCATTGCAATTAAAGGCCCAAATAACTTTCTTTATACAAGTGATTCTCCTCTACCTCTTTTTTAAAGAAAAACATTCTTTCAATGTTTTAGTAATTTTTTAATGTGAGATACTAGCTCCTTTTAAATTAGACTCTTCTTCTAATGTTGTGGTAGTCTTCCAATTCGGGATACTAGCCAATTGTCAATTCTAAGTGTTTACTGATTTACTTCATCATTTTTATTAACAAATCATAAACGCCAAAAAAATTATAATTTTCAATTTGAACAAAGTAAATTATTTTGAACATATTAATTGTTAGTTTTCGAGGTTATAAAATAAATTACTATAATAAATCTAATTAACAAACATGGATT